TTTAGAGTAAAAATAATAATATAAGTATTATAACTTCGTCCCGCTTCAAATATAAATATATTTTTTTACTTAGTTTTTTTGACCTTTTAAACCTTCCTTCCTTGCATATCCAAGAATAGTTCAAGACCACAATATGTCATGTCGGTTCAGCCTTTCTCGAGTTTTAGCAGAACTAACGAACAGAAATTAATTCGTATAATAATTGCCCAATGAATTGTAATATTAATACAGATTAATATGACGTCATTATGCGTTATCAAAAAGATTGCAACTCTAAAATTACGATAAAATATTTGACCGTTAAAAATGCCAGTAATACCTAGTTATTATTTAGATATTTTATAAGCCTAGGTCGGATCAGATATGCTAAATATTTGCTGAATATATATAACTAGCTACTCTCGCACGGTTTCACCCGCTGCTCAGATCCTACAGATCGTAGCGTGATGTTTTATAGCCTATAGCAATCAGGAACATTGTAGCTATCAACCAGTGAAAGAATTTTGTAAATTCGACCAGCTGTTCCAAAGATTACCCCTTACATACAAACTTACAAATTTTACCTCTTTATAGTTTTATTAGTATAGATAAGCGACCCAGATATACCTAGGTGTGGTGACCTGAAGGGCAGTGCGAAACCTGGCAAGTACCAATGTGATTTTTTCCGAGTTATATTTAAGTACTTTCTATGATAATTTAGACACCACTGACATATGGTGAAGGTAAACATCGTGAGGAAACCTGGACATTTCTTTTCTAATTATAAGTTTGAAATCGCCAATCCGCATTGAACAAGCGTTTGTGATTAATGCTCAAGTATTCTCCGTGTGAGAAGAGGCCTTTGCTCAGCAGTGGGCACTTATAGGCTGATGATGTGTGATTTACCCAAATCCTTGAAAAGACCATCTCCAACAGCGAATGTAAGAAAATCAACATAAATGAAGGCAGATTTTGGTTGCGGAGGAAAACGCAATGAGGTACCGAGGCCTTGACCTGGAGCAGGAGAAGGATCGGGATGGATTTTAGTCAGTAAGAGTCTGAGACTCCCTCTTGCCTAAGCCAGGGCAGCAAATCATATGTACACTATATAACAAAATATAATATACCGCAATAGTTTCCAACTAGTCAAATTCAATAATTTTATTGACATGTCAAAAATGAAAAAAAAATCTACCTACAAGTGAATCCAAACTATTATTATAAATGTAAAAGTAACTTTTTTTATGTGATAGGTCGGCAAACGAGCGAACTGATTACCTGATGATAAGCAATCAGCGTCACCCATGGACACCCGCAACGACGGAGGAGCCACGAGTGCGTTGTCGACCTTTTGGGGATTAGGAATGTGGAGATTTTGGGAAAGGGAACGGATTGGGGTAGGGGAAGGATTGGGCCAAGGTAACCTCACTCACACGGCGCTGTCTCGTGTGTAACACTGTCTGTCTTTTCTTCACGCCTAAACTACTGAACCGATTTCTGTGAAATTTAGTTCAGACATAGTTTGGAACTCAAGTTAGAACAAAGGATAGTTTTTATACCAAAAATCTGCAGAAATTCTACGCAAATGGGGTCGCGGGCAAAAGCTATGTGGTTCTATATAAAACAGCAACAAACATAATATAATAACGTACTGCAACGTCATACTATTTTATTTCTGTCAAATACCTGTTTCTTATAGATTAGCTAGATAAAAAAAATTATGAAGCTTGGAATTCGTTACTTTTATTCATTGTATTTTATTTTTTACTAATGTAAGTAGTACTACTAAATTTCTCCATAATTTAATGAATGTTATTATACATTTAAAACAATCACAGTATGTTTCGCCGCGTGAATGAGGTTACCGGAAGCCCCATCCTTTTCCCTTTCCCCATCCCTTCCCAATCCTTAAATATCCGAAACTTTCATCCTCAAAAGGCCGGTAACGCACTCGTAACTTCTTTGGTGTAATCCATGGGCGGCGCCGAATGCTTACCATCAGATAATCAGTTAGGCGCTTACCCAGAACTAGTAGAGTAAATGTAAGATTTTGCCAATAAATGTATTCTCTATCGCATCTATCACGGGGAGTGTTCTGAGGAATTGTTTGTTTTGATCCCCGCCGCATCTTTTCGCCATCGTTCGACGCGAAAAATTTTTCATCCCCATCACATACATCATAGATGGTTGGCAGTCAACAACTGTGCGATTCACCCGAAACTTTCTTCGAAACGACTTTCAAACCTTCAAGAAACGAGCATATTCCTTCTTAAAAGGCCGGCAACGCGCCTGTGACTCCTCTGGTGTTGCAGATGTCCATGGGCGGCGCCGATCGCTTACCATCAGGTGATCCGTCTGCTCGTTTGCCACCTATTCCATAAAAAAAAAAGATGCATTTTTCACGTTCCTAAAACGTGCAGAACTGCATTCGATGCGGATATTACAACAGTACGGAACAACTCGCTGACATTTCGGTATATTAAAACTAGAATCAACGTTCTTTTTTTGGCCATTTTCGTTTTTTGAAATAAGCCGTTAATCGTTTATTTTATAACTGATTCTTTTTTTTTATTACGTATGTTCTTTGCCGTGTGTTAAATAGCCATCCTATGGTATCATTACGTTTCAGCCGGGGTTGCGGGGTAAGCGCAATGAGGCACCGCGACCTCGGCCAGGAGCAGGAGAAGGAACAGGGGGTTTTTAGTCAGCAAGAGTCTGACTCAAAAGGGCGGGAGAAGTCTATCGAAGATTTTCCCCTCACAAAAAAAAAAAATTGTGTCATTACGTTGATTTAACAGAATTGAGTGTGTTGATGTTGGATTTCCGCGCAGAACAACACTTTTTGTGATCAACAAATTATTGTTTCGGGTCTTACTTATATGGAAATTTGTATGTTGGTAAACGCACCCGACTTGCAATTGTGGAGGCCTATGTCCAGCAGTGGACGGCATCAGGCTGATGATGATATTGATGATGATAACACGCACCCACGACACAGAAGAAAAAGTGTGTTGCAAAGTATTTTTATAAAGAAAAGAAATCTGCGAAAAGTTTGTGCAGCTCTTGGTACTCAAGCTCTACAGCATCTACAGTACATACAACCATGAAAACACCGAAACACTGAACTCCGCCGCGTCCCAGGGTCATAAATGACTGTCTTAGATCCCGCAACGAAATAAATCAGAAGATATAATTTGAGGAGAAGAAAAAACTAAATAGTGCAACATATGTCATCCGCCGCACGTCGATCGTTCAAACAATTGATTATTTATACAGAAAAAGCCGTGAGCAAAACAGATAGCGAACTTTTATTACAGATTAAAATTTAAGGCGACGTGTGAACAGACATATCGTAATTGACGCATTTAAAAAAAATCGTCACGGAATTGTCGTATGTGTGTACTAAAAAGATCAGTAGCCATTGTAACAGATAAGTAAAGTTTAACAGATTAAAAAAAATTACATAAACTATATATGTATTGTGCCTAATCAATAGATAATAACATTTTAAAAACATTTTTAACAAAAGATATTTTTTTTGATATCTATCACTAAGATAAGTGTTATATATTTAAAATATTTCCAATCATTGTTACATGGTTAGATTATGAGTTAACTGTTTTAATATAAGATATGGATGTTTTATCAATGATAGATTGACAAATCAATGAGTTTACTTCAAACTTAAACTTAGAACAATATGTAATAACTCTTTTACAATAAAGAACTCTTTACTGTCTTTCTACGCCTGACAAAAGTAAAAAAAAAAACTGTACCTATACAATTAAAAAAAAAGATGTTGAATATATTAATTTAATATCTAATTATTTTACAAATATACACGAAAAATCTACAGTAAATTATAATTCAATCGATTAATAAAATTCAAATTGAAAGAATTGTCAAATTGTGCACTTAAGTCTGGAATCAATATAAAAATGTGTCCAAGATAAGATTAGGTGTGTTTATGAATATATTTAGCTTTTTTAAGAACAATGGTATAGATAATACGGCATAATGAATAAACTCTTTGGTTGAAATATTCACTTATAGCTTTTACTTATTATTAATAAAATTATAATAATGTTTATAAAAAAGAGGCAACTACATTGTTACATATAAACATAAAACAAATGTATAAAATTTGCAAGTCCATTAAAGTTACATTAAATATCACTTATCTTGTAGGATAAAATTGTAAATTTATATTTAATTTGTTTAGTAACTGAATCAGGCTAATGTTTTTGACCTAATTTTTAAAGTACATTAAATAAAAACAATCAATTTTCTATTCACCTAGTTCACAAAATAATAAATGATCATTTTTTTGCACATAAAAAAAAGGTTGTTTACAAGGCCAACTTTAAGACAATTATGGAGCCTTCTAGTCTATTGTTTTATTTTAAACAGATAAAGTTCTGTCTAAATTGATATTATCTAATAAAATTTATTGATAACATAGTCAATATAATATGTCACACCAAATAATATTAAGTTTAATTTCAAAAAATCTATAAAAAAAATAATATTGATATAAAAAACTCACCTGATAAAGAGCTTTGCATAATATTTCTTGCACCATAGATGTGCAAGGAATTTCGCGTTCAGCCAAATTTTTTTTTTCACAGATATATCCAGAGCCACAATCACTGATTACTATTTGAATGATAATAAAACTTTGCATACAGTTAATAATTATTATCAAGCAGTTTACACCCAATCAAGGGTTTAAATATGAAATTTGTACTAATATAGATAAAGAAACAATTACGTTTGATAAGTAACGATTACAGTAAAGTTAGGCGTTTTAATACTAAACACGAAAATGAATGTGGGCGACCGTCCTCCCGCTAATGTATGCGCCGTCGAGCGAATAGTAATAAAATTATACACGGCATAGCGTCGAATTACGCGTCTCCCGCTTTTAGTTAAAAGGTTAACAGCCAATTGACTACGGTTTTTTTTAATCAGTTAAAAATACAGGCACTAGCATTGTATCGAGGAGCTTAAGTCGTACTCACCGTCGCTAGCGGGTCGCATTCCACCTTTCCCGATGTGCGTGGGCTCTCATTTTCATCTTGTTCACGTAATACCACTTTACGAATATCTAATATTTTGGTATCAAAATGCAAGGAGGTATAAAAAACTAGGATGACCACTGTTACATTACAACTGTCAAAACTGAACTTCACTCGGGTACTTGTGCCAAGAGCCATAGACAAGGTTATGTTTTATAAATAGATTTTGGTTTTACTACTCGATAAGAGATGGCGGTAGGTGATAAAAGTCCGCGAAATGTATTTGGTTTTAGATGGGTAACTTTAAAAGAATAATTGTTATTTGAATAACAACTATTTAGTATACTTAGTATTATTGCATGGTATATAAATAAAGAGTATCGCGTTTTAATATTTCATTTCTAGCACTCATATTTGTATTTTCAGATTTATATTCATCAAATATAATATTATTAACTTGATATTATAAGGTATGTACCATATGCACCTTGCTCTAAATCGCGTACTTAAATAATGTACTTATTCGTTTTTTTATTTTTTGCTTGTGTGAAATTTAGTACAGACATAAGTAGTTTGGAACTCGAGAAAGAAGTTAAGATAATTTTTAAACCAAAGTAACCAAAGGAAGTCCAAAAATCTGCTGGATGTTACTATTCCACGCGAACAAAGTCGCGGGCAAAAGCTAGTTGTAAATAAAACACGTAAGTACGTAGTAAGTTGTAAGTGAGATATTAAAGTCAGAAGTCAGGTTTGAAATTTGAATATACAAGCAGCAAATAAGTGTGGGAGAGCCATGCTTCGCCACGAATGGGTCGGCTCGACCGGAGTGATACCACGGCCTTACAGATAACCTACGTGAAACAACCACAGCGTTGTGTGTCCGATCCCCTCTCCCAATCCCTCCTCAATTCCTAAATCAATTAAAAATAAAAATATTCCAAGCCATGACATATAGGTACATAGACTCAACTAAGTATTTTAGTTTAAGCTGTATTTGTAGATACTACATAAGTAACATACATACTAACCTAGACTTAACCAAGTATTTAATTATATGTAGATACCACATACATTTATACTAACTAAATCGCTTCACTTCTAACAAGCTGCCAATCAACGCCGCAGTGATCCGAATCTTTAATTAGAAAGCGAATCAATTAATTAAAATGTAATCTTTGTTGGCAGGATCCACGTTTAGATTAACGATGTGACATTTATATTTAAATGCATCCTACAATGTAACATATTATGTAGCTCGTTTAAGAGGGGAAAATCATCCAATGACTTCTCATGTCCTGAGTGGGAAAAGGAGTGTAATTTTTTAGGACAATCCACCACAGCCTCCTAAAAACGCTGCAACTCCTGTGCACCAGGATCTACAGTAGGTAGATACAACCATGAAAACACCGAAAGACTAAAGTCCGACGAGTCCTAGGGACATGAATGAGACAGTTCTTGAATCCCCCAATGAAATAAATCAGAAGATACTATTTGAGAAGAAAAAACGCGAGAGATTGTCAGACTCTTAAAAAGCATGCAAGCTGAAAACTATGTAAGTTGCAAAAAGTTTGAGCTTATCCGGGATTTGAATGCGTGACATCTCGTGCTCAATGCAAAAATTATACCCTTAGATCCCTAGACCAACGAATAATCAACAGATACCTCCAAGGGCTTTTCCTTAATTTTTTTTATGTAGGTAGGTAATAGGTCTGCAAACGAGCAGACGGAATACCTGATGGTAAGCAATCAGCGCTGCGCATGGACACCCGCAACGGAGGACTTACGAGTGCGTTGCTGATCTTTTAGGGATAAGGGATTTGGGGATTGAGGAGGGATTGGGAGAGGGGAAGGATTGGAAACACAACGCTGTGGTTGTTTCACGTAGGATTTCTGTAAGGCCGTGGTATTACCTAGCTAAATACAATAAAAAATTGAGATTTTACTATGAAATTTAAAGTACAGTACAGTTTGCCAAAATAAGCCCAAATGGATACAGCGATACAATGTGTAAAATAATGATAAAATTGTTGCTGTCGCTGTCTTATACATCATCATCATATGAGCCAGAGGGCGTCCACTGCTGAACATAGGCCTCCCCCATTAACTTCCAGATAGGCCGGTTGGAAGCGACCTGCATCCAGCGGCTTCCTGCGACCTTAATCAGGTCGTCTGTCCACCTTGCGGGTGGACGTCCTACGCTGCGCTTGCCGGTACGTGGCCTCCACTCGAGAACCGTTCTGCCCCAGCGGCCGTCGGTCCTACGCTCTATGTGCCCTGCCCATTGCCACTTCAACTTACTAATCCGCTGGGCTATGTCGGAAACCTTTGTTCGTTTGCGGACGAAACTCCGAGCATAGCCCTTTCCATAGCGCGCTGAGCTACCTTGAGCTTCTTTATAAGGCCCACAGTAAGAGACCACGTTTCAGCTCCATAGAGCTGTCTTATACAAATGTACACAAATGTTCTGACGTGACAGCGTCATAATTATTCCCCAGATAACTTTTATCTAACCATTGAAAAATCAGCCCTTAATTTAAGTTAAGTAACTTTTTAAAATGACTAGTAAAACACATTCCAAAAACAAATTAACAGAAATGCTGTTTTCACTATTTGATACTAGATGGCGCTAGTAGTCTACTGATACGATCCTCCTAATATCTCAAAATCGCATCACATTGAAGTAAGCACATAGGATACAAATATACATAAATCAAGTTATTTTTGATTATTATCTGCCGATTACCACCAAAGGGTAGATAGAACTTATAATCAAAAAATATGGTACGTATATTAAAACTGTCTAGCAGTTGAAGAGATCCATGCTTTATCTAGATTAGGCCGGCTCGATCGGAGTCATACCACAGAAAACCGGCGTGAAACAACCACAGCGTTGTGTTTTGAAAACTCTAAAAAACTAATGCCTATAAGGCCGGCCACACACACCTCTGTTGTAGGTATCCACGGACGGTACCGATTGCTTTGGCACCATTAGGTAACCAGACTGCTCGTTTGCCGACCTACCACATAATGAAGTACCTACATTAGATCATCTTTATCATTACTGGGTATGGTAGGATACTACAAACTGGAGGTGAGGCGTGAAGTAGGTCTAGCTACTTATATGTTTAAGGTGTTGCGAGGTATAACGCACCACCCTGCCCTACTGGAGGAATTACACCTGTGTGTTCCGAACGGGTACGTGCGGCGTAGGCGGCGGCCGCGGCTGCTGGTGGTACCGTGCGCACGCACGAACCTCTTGCAGAAGGCACCAATGACGCGAGCGTTGCGCATATTGAATGCAATAGCGGACAGTACGGATGTATTCTCGTGTACACTCAACGAGTTCACAAAGGTAACATATGAGGTTATTGTGAATAATAACTAAGTTCCTAGGATTGGTACTTATTTGATTCTATTTATATAATTTATGTGGTTAGTAACTAGGTACATAGATTTTAAAATATAAGTACATATTTGTTATTACTAAAGTTATTTACGTTTATTAGGGATAGTTTTGTGGAAATGTATTAGCCTGTAAGTTTAATTAAGGTTCTTTGTGCTTATGTTCTTTTGTTTTTCTTTGTCTAAATTGTTTTACGGTTATTACTCGGATATTGTGTTATAAGTTTACTAATAATATGTAACTGCATTTATCGTATTAGGTGTGCCTGTAATGATGAATGTAATGTTTAAATATAAATAAATAAATAAATTATTACGGCCATTATTATTTACATGCAAATAGGTAAATAAGTACATAGGTAAGTATATAAGTCTTAGAAATACTGTCACGTATTTAATTGTACTTTAATCCTGGAATGTGTTATTATACATTCAATGTTAAGTCACTCTTTCACAGTGATGTCATGTGTCCTTTCAGAGAGTGTGCCTTTTGCTACCATTTGTCGGTAGTCCAAATCAGTGCTTACAAAAAAATATACGAAAAATTTAAAAACCACCAAACTTCGTCGACCGAGCCCAGAAACGGGCAAGGTTGGAAGAGCCCTGAAGAGCCATGCTTTTGCACAAATGGGCCATTTTGACAAGTCAGTGACAGCACGGCCTCAAAGAATTTTGGTTTAAAACGCTTGCATTAAATAAGGCATAGGTAATCTCCCTTTACCCAAATCCCCAATCTTAAATTTCTTAACAATTTACAAATGGCCACGTACTTGCTCCTTTGGTGTGCCACGCATTGCTTCTATCAAGTGATCCGTTTATACGTTTGCCAACTAATCCCATAATAAAAAAACGACCCCAAAACCGCTTCGGCAGTCGTTAAAACATAACTAATTGTATATCTAATTATGATTTTAAAATAACGGAAGTACATCCATAACCATCAAGGCGCCATTTAAAAGAACTCTATGGTGTTCCTTAAAAAGAAAACAATTATTATTAATTGTGTCTCACAAAAAAGGCCAGCGGCTGTATGAGTGATACCTTTGCCAAACTAAACGATGTAGTATGCTAAACGGCCATCGATACCATCGTTATTGTCTATGGTTGAGCGTTCCAATTTCAATATGGTGATCGGTGCGAGTGGAGTGGAGTTGTATACGTATGTTTATTTTTTTTATCTTTTCACATTTAATATTAATTTATCAGATACACTGTGCTCACTTTTCAATTTGAAAAAGAATTTTTGTAATCACAAGATATACCTAATATTGTAAAACTAAAAACTATTTCATAATTTACTTACACCAATGAAAAATCCGAGATTTACCTATAATTACAATGACGTATTATATATAGACACGTCATGAACTAACATCGCGGCGCTTAAAAACGGCGAAAATACTAGATAACTACTTCTACGAGTAAAGAAAGGGAAAGAAAATATGACATCGTATAGTGGAATTCCTTTGCTAGAGGGAGATAAATATACATCTTCAGTTATGCCAACGGCACGTGACGTGACTATACCTTCATTCGCCGGCCGCCATAAGATGGCGGGCGCCGGCGTCGAAAAAAATAAAATAAAAATAGGTTGTTTGGTGAACTTACGCATGAAATAACACATTTTTTATTTAACTTTTGGAGTATAATTTGTACATCGTCTGAACACACACGACGACATGCTTTCTTTATGTTTCGCACAGGTTTACACACACGATATAAATTAAAAACAAACGTAGCGTCGCGCGGCAGGTTGGTGCGTAACTAAGCGCGATGTT